TTTGTTAACGTAATGAAATACTCATTCAATTATGAAACACTACAAGAAAAAAAATGTTTTTTTTTATGATGACTAAATTATGTCTATTATGATGAGAAAAATCGTCGTTTTTATTGTTTCTAACGGTTTATCGATAGTCTTAAGCTCTTAGGTAAAACACTGTCTGTAATTTCAAAATTGATCGAAGTTCCAACAGTATTTAATTACTGACGCATAACCAACGATTTAATGTCATAGCTATTTTTGTAAAGTTTTGAATCGTCGGTTCATATTATCGATGATTGATCCGTTGGTAATAGCAACAGCTTACACGTTCAAGCATTTGATGAACTAGAAAAGTTGACAAAGAGCAAATTATTAAATCAAATAACAATATAAATCAAATGCATTTACCCTAAAATATATACATCAATGTTCACAAAAAAAATAATTGTTCAAACATACAACATAAACATTAAAAAAAGATAAATATCTCCCCTAGACATTCTCCCTATCTCCTCATCCTATATTTCTTCCTCCTCCTCCAACACTGCCCGCCACACTCCCTCATCTGCTGCCAGAACGAATTTAACTTGGCCTTTAACTTGGCCTCATTGTTTGCCTCTAGCTCTGACCTCATCTTAGTGAAGAGGGCCTCCATCTCGGAAGTGAATTTTGCAACGCGTCTAGAGATCTTCCTGTCATGCGCAGTAGAGGTGGAAGCTTCGAATGCATTGGTGGAGGAATGAGAATCTTTGTGACCTAAGCCCGTAGACTCGACCCTTCTTCTTCCCTTCGACAGCCTTGCTCCGTTGGTCGTACTCAAAAGGATCATGCTCGTTGATCGTAATACCTCTCGATGTCTGGGATTTGTTCTCCTTCAGTTGTTGGAATTTCTCATGTAAAAAAGAGTAGCTACATTCAGTTACAACTAGCATGTATTAACATGAAACTAGTTAGCTCGTTAATGCATTGGATCTGTCGTCAATCTATGACTAATCAAATTGCTTCTGGTAGGTGTGCTCATGTACATCAACACTGGAGGCCTCATGTCCCATTTTCCACAGTCTTTTCATGTAGCAATATACTTAGAATACATCTTTTTGACTATAGAAAACTTAAAATTAGGAATGAAATCTTACCGGCCTCCACTTGCATTTTGTATGTGGGAGCGCCCACCAGTGTGGTTAGACGACCCCATTCCTCCACAGTCTGACTGCCTATTCTGCTTTGCTTGCTCTCTCTTCTTCTGGTAGTCCGATGAATCCCAAGCCCTAAGCATCGAGGCAAAGTCATTCTCTCAGAGCCATAAAGGACGTTGTCACAATTTTTGAATATTGCAAAACAGGTTCCAGAGGAGATCACTGTCTTTTGCTTGAAGTTGTGTCAGATGTGTACCTTCTACTCACTTTCACTTCTATGATATTATATATTTAGCTTTCCCTTATTCTACGATTAGGAATATGATTGAATCAAGTACAGTTGAATATGAATACACTTCCTCTGATAGAGCTTGGGTAAGATAGTTCATCTACTTCTTTTAGAATCCCATGATAGTCTATCTCGCCATTCGATTTATCATTTGTTTTAACACAAATATTGTGATCACAAGCATTTTTTCTTGAAACCAGGAACTTATATGAAACCTGTACACATTTACGTTATAAATTTGTCATAATTTTATGATGTGCTTAGGTCCCCAAGCAAGATATATCAACCTCTGATATATCACTTCATTTCTCCAATCAAGAACTGCTGATATATAATATATACATTAGAAATCACGTGTCAATTTTAACTTACTTGTGGAGTCAACCACTTGAGAAGTTAGCCTTGATCTCTCTTCTGGCGTCATCGTCTTCAAATAAATTTAACGAATCCATGAATAAAATGTGCACACATTGAAATATCATTGAAATAACTATTCATGACATTTTTTAGAAGAATGAGAGAAAAATTATAACAAAAAAATGTCTTATTGAATAAAGGGTTGTACTACATCGTAAGAAGAACATAAAGTGTTGTTGTTTGAAGTTCATGATCATTAAGGTAATGTGATGTGCACATCCCCGTTGATTTACCTAACTGTTAGAAAACAGGAAGATTCGATGGTGTCACAAAGCCCGTTGAGTCTTTTGGGGATTCTTCTTACACGAAATAGTAGTAGCATAATGTCATCGTCTCCTACAGTAAGTATGTTTCACATAAAGACCTTTATGGTCGGGCCTTATTCTTCACAATTCTTTTTAGTTTATTGAAAAATCTAAAAAATAAATGTTGCATAGCATATGCTGACAATCTTCATTCTAAATGAGTGATTTAACTAGAAAGTCTCAAAGTAATTACCTTTAAAACATATACATTCAATAGTACTGTACTGGACCTCTAATTAATGCCTCATGGAGTAAATGTATAGGCAGATGCTCTGTCGAGTTGAAAAAACTAGGCGAAAATACTCTCTCAAGCTTGCAAAGTGGTATAGAAATTTTTCTTCCAATTGAAGTACGTCGTCAAAGCTCCAAACAAACTGCACATAGTTATTTGAAGAACACATTGATTTCAATCGATGGATTAAGGGATTCACTAAGCAAAAAACTAAATGTGGTCGACAACTATTTCTGTTTCTTTTCATTTTTTATAAGGAGTCGATAGCTTGTATATCGTCATGTACTTTCTTTTTTCAACTAAGTCCTCCTTCTAGATCATGAGAGTGATCTAGAGAAGAAGGGAACCCAAAAAGCATGAACATATAACAAACAGAAACAAAGAGAAAGAAAACATGAAGAACTTACATGCAATAAACCTCACAAGGATATGTCAAGTATGTCCATGCAAACAAGATCGAGAGAAGGCAACTTGGATCAATATTAGCAAAAGAATACCTACATAGACTACCCATAATTAGAGATTCAGGTGTGTTTTCCTGTTATGGGTTGTAGAGTGATGTTTTCCACTTGGTTAATTACATCCTGGGTGTTGCCCAAGAATACCCTTTATCCAAAGATGTTTGCTTACATTATAAGTGACAACTAGCACAGAGGTTTCAAAAGATGGTTATTTCCCATGAGAATGCTCTGTTGCTTTCAAAGCTCCTATTAATTCATGGGGCAGAGAGTGAGTCTCTCATGGTGCACACATGGGTAATAGGCTCATTGATATACATAGCCTGTGAAATAACTGAATCATCCTGATGGGGAATCCCAATATGTCAAAGCACATCCGGGTCATAAGGGCTGATGATAAATCTCCTTTAAACATCTACCAATAATTCAAAAAGAAATTCATGTTGGCCAATCAAAGGGACAGATCTAGCAATTCTTAAAAATTGGTCTCACACTCACAAAAAGTCTACAATCAATGCTCCTTTTTTTATGCCATTCCCCAGCTTGGCGCGGTATATCAGAGAAAAATACTACTTTAAAAATACTCCCAAAATATTTCTAAGAGATTAATGCATCAAGTCCACACATATTGTGATGGAGAGTCTCACACGAACCTTCAACTCTTTCATGCAACTAGAATACTGCAATGTCCACCTTTTGGTCTTTGGAAACTTTATACCTCAGACTCTCTTATCAGTATCATGAAGCTATGCATTTGACTCTATTCATTCTACCACACAATTGAATGAATGTAAGTGCATATTCATAAATTGATTCATCACTCGATCCATGGTATTCTTGTTAGCCATCGCCGTTAGTTGATTAGGCTGTGTCTCCACAGCGGCCACTGATTGTACAAGCTGAGTTGCTTGTGGTGTCAGTTACGCTGCTTGTTGGATAGCCTGACATGTTTGTACAAATTGAGCTAGAAAGTTGACTTGTAACACTCGAGTGACGTTCCATGTCACCATTTTCGCAAAAGTTATCACATTAAGAGTCGGCGCTTCTGTAGTCTCAGTGGGTTGAGGCAGATGAACACAATGGACAAAGACCCCTAAGGATATGCACAATTTTTTTAGTAACACAAGATTTTTCTTGCTCTAGATGTTGCGACACGTCTTCCGTTTAGATCTATTCTATGGAATTAAAATTTTAAAAATCTAAATTGGCTAAATAACTAGCTAATTAGTATTGAGATAACCTATCATCTACCAGACCTCGAAGAGACAGAGATATTGAATACACGAGAAAGGGATAATGAATAGAAATGACTAAAAATCTTGAATATAAAACAGTCTCTCATATCACACTGTCACATCCCATATCAGGAAAGATGATACACCCCAACATCATAACACATGATAAAATGAATTGAACCGGCGATTCAGTAGCTTTCCATCGAGCCTTCTCCTTTTTCTCTATATTGGCCACAATCAAGCTGAAATTCCCATCTCTTCATCTAATATAATTCTATTATAAAAGCCGCATGAAATTTTATGAATTATTGGATGTAGACATACAAATAAAATGTGTCCTTAAATTAAAATTCCACGATCCATAAACAATAAACAGAAAGGAATATTACCATATGCATAATATTTAGATGTCAGACAACAAGTAGTTCGAAAATATTTCCCTCCGAACCATGTAATTAAAAAAAAAAAAACAATGAGAGTACTTTCTATATTTAAGGCGCACCCACTAAAAAAAAAATGGAGGGCGGCGGGTCTGGCATAGGCTCCACTCCTTTCCCTGTCATCCAGTCCCTGTAGCTTAGGTTGATGCACGCCGAGAGTCCCCGCTCAGTCCGCGCGTTCCTCGCTCCCCTCTCCCGCCTCTCTGTCTTCTGTCATAGTCCCCATGGCTTCCGGGAGTTACAGAAACGGTACTTCTTACTCTAAGCCAACGAAGCTGGACCGAACAACATCCTCCACCTACACCACTCCCAAGCCCATTTCCAAGTCACGTGTTTCCGCCGGAGGTGGCGCTAACATCCGCCGAAGTAACGCTACGCCGCTCACCGTTAAGGATGACGCCGGAGGTCAGTGTACCTGTTTAGTTCCTTTTCTTGGCTTATCGTGTTGTGAGATCTGGTTACGGAAGAGGCTGCAGATAGTTTGCCTCTTTCTGTGTTTCGATGATATTCTGGTTTGCTTAGTTAAATGATTCGATCTAGGTTCATCCGGGATCTGTAGTTGCTAAGAGTGTTGCGGTTGGCTTGGCTATTCTGTCTGCGTTTAGGGTCCTTGCTCTTGTTTTTGGAAATAAAGACTTGAGTAAACATTTGCATCATCTCCTGCTGTAGCAAGCCGACTTGTTGTGGATGTATACGGGAATGGTTCGATAATGTAGGGCTTCGTGATAAAATTGAGGAGTTTGGCTGGTGCCTGGCGCGGGATTCAGCAGAAACGTGCTATTTGACGATTTTAAACTCGAGAGACTGTGCCTTGATGTTAAGGATTTGAAGACCAGTTATCTTCTGTTTCCCTAGTGGTGCTACTCTGGTTTCCATTCAGGACCCATTAGTTGCCTTGGACGCTCTTAAGTCTACGGCAGCTTGCATTTCCTTCAAGATCTACATATGCTTCCCCTTATTTTTATTTTTCATTTTGGAATACTTCATCTTGCAGAGAAAGGTTCCAGACTATCTCCTTGTTATTTGCATAATTTGTCCCTTATCCTCTGAAAAGTACTGTGAAGACTTGATGTAAAGTAGCAAGCAACTTTGGGGTGGTTTCCTTATTGCTTTAATTAGGTTATATATGTATATACTTCTACACACCTATTGTTCTGTGTAAAAATAATATTGCAGATTTCCTTAAGTTTTATTCATAGGATTTAATACTATTTTTTTGATGTAAACTAAGTGTAAAATTAAATTCTTGTGGCACTCTACAACTGCTTCTAATATTTGATCACTTTCCTTCTAACATTTGCAAAATCATGTAAAGTGTTACTTTTCTTTGTACTTTCCCACTAAGGGAGGTTTTATTTTGGAGCTATAAGAATCATATTGAAATCACCTCTAACTTTACGAGAAGGATACATTTAACCATGTGATTCTCTATTTAATTTGAAAAATGCTTTTTTTTTTGTGTTTTCATTAAGTAATCCAAAAGGGGGTGGGAGAGTTGTGATCTTAAAAGATGGCCCCTAGTTAATTTAAATCATTTAATTAATGACAATACAACTCGTGCTTAAAATATCACCATGTAACAAGGTGACATTGTATTGGTCCTATCTGAACAATTTGATTAACATAAGACTACACCAGCAAATCCAAAGTTTTGGCACAAATAAGATAATCAATTTTATATATTCATCAGTATTGATCTTGGAGTCATTGGCATAGATACGATTATCTAATTTAGGTCTCTATGAGCACTAATCTTAAGAGTTATTATTCCCATTGAACTATTTTTGGTGATAAGGGCAAAATGGTTTGACTTGATCTTTAGAGGTGTGGGGCTTGATTCTCCACCTTTCAATCAATTGGACGATGGAATTACCTTTAATCAAAGGAGTTTTCTCTCTTTTCATAAGGAGCTTAACTAAATTAGTTTAGCCCTTGTTAATATTTAAGCTTCGTTACTAATTTGAGTGTCGAGTCCTTCTCAAGAGTGGAAACCCTAATGTATGGCATTAACATTGTTTTTCCTCTATTTTATGTGTTTAGGAAATGAGCCTAGCTTAAAGGAGGTCTCATTTGAGAACTGTGATTGTCTCAAGCTCACTTTTTGTCATGCCACAAACATTTTTAAAATTTAGTGGATTTTTTTGGAGAAATTCTCATAATGTTCATAATTGAAGAAATATTCCTCTCGTTTGTTTTTTGGAGAATTATATCATAAAGTTTGTTTCAGATCAAAATGTTACTGTGATGTCCATGTACATTCATTGAAATACCTTGCGAACAAAAATGGTTTGTTTTTGGACTTTGTTCAAGCTTTCATTCTAAAGTGGTTTGAAGTTTGTTTTAACACTATTCATACATTATTCAAATGTAGTTTTAACCATGTTCGAACATGTTCAAGATTAGGATTATGTTTCAAACTTAGGGTCTGTTTGGGGCAGCTGTAGCTTTTAAAAAGTTGTTGCGACTACTTATGATAAAAAAAAAACTTTTCTCTTGTATTGCTGTGCTGTTTATAACAGAATCAATTTAGATTGCGTAATTTATACATGAATATATAAATTAGATTTAGAATCCCAAAGAATCTCATAAGTTTGAATATTACAACTAAAAACTAATATCTTACTAAACAATTAGTAACACAACAAACAAAGTTAAAAATAAAATTATTTTAACACTAATTAATATTATCATGATATTGAATTTGAAATGCAGACGATCAATTTCACGAAATAATTTTTTCCCAGAAAAACTCTTCACGCCTGATCACTGTCTGAGGTGGAATCGTCTAATTGATCCGCTTATCTGAAGAAGTCACAGTCCTCCAATGATCTATTCCCTGGACTCTTGTAAAATTTTCTCTCATAGCTATACTTCTGTCGTGAAATATGCAGAGAGCATTGCAGTCCACAGTAGCATTACAAGACTCTAAAGGTATCAGACGACCTCAAACTCATATTTTCTAAAGGTGTAAAATCATAATACTCAAATCATTAGATATAACATTAGATAATAAGAATAATAGAAATACATAATTAAAATTTTATAAAGCTGTGAAGTTTCTGAGTAAAAAAGGATAAACCAATGATTAATCTATCCCTACAAGAAGACCAAAGTCTTTTAAAAAGAATATTGGTTGACTTTAAACCATGTAATACCGAACTCATATGTGTCACCAAAGCATATCAACACAAATGCCATCCAAAAAAACCCTAGCAGTCATATGGCTTAATGAGAAGATGATTTTGATTGTGTTGATGACAATTTCATACATATTAAAAACTAAAACAACATATATGCACTTTAGAAGAACCTGCAAGGTTATGTATCTTATTAAAGACCTCCAATAAAAAAAAAATACAAGAAAAAAATATATTAAACACACTGTTGCCTAAGAGGTCATCCATGCGGAAAAAAATACATGCAGAATGAATGAAGTATAATTTGCACCAACTTGAAACCTAAAAAAACATCAATGCATAAAATGTCATTTCAATAAATATTAAGTATTTTTGCAAGATCTTATACATAAATAAATAAAAAATTGCATACATCATTTCACCCATTAATCTATTGCATTTATAATTTGTTTTCTCAGCTTAATCACCTCTCCAACACCTTCCCCATCTTGGGTACAGACTCAGGTAAATCACATTCAACTTGTCATATTGACTACTCTATGTTTGACCGATCTTTATCTATACTATTGAAATCAATATCATTACGTCAAGGTTGTCGACGAATGTAATTGTGGAGAGCCATTATAGTGACCACAATCTTCGCTTGTTTGTTGAAAGGATATGTGGGCATATGTTGTAGAACAACTCATTTTTTTCTAAATTTCAAATATCCTGTCAATCACACCACGTGAGTGTATCTTGTTAAATATCTCTTTTTTTCCCCGGGCTACATTGTTAGCTCTTTTAAAAGTAGAAATGTAATATTTTTTACTAGGATGGAGTTTGAGATATCCTCTTTGTAACGGATATCCGACATCAACCAAATAATATTTTCCGATTATAAGTATGGAAATTAGTATTGTACCAAAAATATTATTTTTTGTTCTTATTCAAGCTAACTTGGAGGTGATTTTGAAAAAAAATATTTTTATGAGTTAGTGTAGTAAATTTGAAAATGTGATGATCGTGTGCGTTGTCTTTCTATTCGAACATTACAAAGTGAAACACATATTGAAATTACTTACAATCATAATATTTTGTGTCGGTGAATCACATCTAATGCATTGCAATTTTTTGATTATTGGACACACGTACATCCAATTCTAATTTAATTATGTAAGCTATTGAAGTTATTGTGTATAAGTAAATTTTGAAAAAAATGAACACATGAATCTACCGTAAAATATGACATATATTATTGATAATTGTGAAATCTCTACAAAAGTGCTTTGAAATGTAGGGTTATCAGATCTGATACTTTTCTCATACCCATTTTGTGATAATATAAATAGAGTTATAAGTAACATCTGTCTTTAAGTATTCCTAAAGGAGTCACAGAGTCCTTGATTTTTGTGCAGTTCTTATGATAAATCAATAAATATAACTTGTCATACGAAATATATTATTAAGTTTGTTGGATGATCTATAATCAACTTTCGAATCTATTTGTCACTAATGTAGGTGTGTGTCATGCAAAGAGTGCTAGTGAATATATGAGTTGTAATACTTTTACATTAAACATAATACAACTATAATTTTTTTTACGCCTTTTTTCTATCGATGTTATTCGTTTTTGATGTAGCTATCATAATAATATCACTAATTAATTCACTTGATTATGTATGTAAGTGATTAAGTGATAATATTAAGGATAAGCTGTAATTTTTTTACGTCTTTCTCTATCCATGTTAAACCAAACAATCAATTGTTTAAGTGATTCCATTTAATGTAGTTATTACAATAATATCACTAACTAATTTCACCCTATGTCATTTTGCATGACATGACAATGTTATGCTCCTTTTGTTAAATATAAAAAAAAATAAAATTATTATAATATATTGTTTGAACCAGATTTGAAAAGATTCAAACCAAATTTAAACAATCAGAACACTCTTTGGACCTAAGTTTGAAATTATTTTGAACACAATTCGAATTAAGTTAGATTTTTGTTCGAACATCTTTTTTCAAACATTATCAAAACCCAATTCAAAGTTGGTTTAAAATTTTCTCAAGCATCTCTTGAAGCTTGGTATAATCTTACTCTAACTTTGCCCAAACCTACTATGATCATGGGTGCGAGCTATATGTGTTGTAATACTCATACATTAAGCATAATGCAACTTTAATTTTTCTTTTACGCCTTTCTTTATCTATGCTATTCATTGGCGATGTAGCTATCACAATAACATCATAAATTAGTTCGTTTGATTATGTAGGTAAATGATT